TTGAAAGTGGCGTCTTCCTGGCAACATAAACAACCTAGCGTCAGTGGCAGTGATGTGCAACACTGCTAGCAGTGCTAGAAGGCACACGCAGCAGGCAGGATGTGGTTCAGCCCTGCACGTTTGAGTCCCTTGCAGGGAAACAGATCACTTCGCTCTCCTTGACTTCTCTTTCTCTGAATGGAGAGTAAAATGTGCAAAACATAGAACAAGCTGTCTGTACGTTTATAGATTTAATTATGTTTGGCAGCTAATGTTCAAAAACTCTTTATCTTCAGGCTTTCATCTTATGACGAGGGGACCATGGACATATCATGTACGACATTTGAATGCTTATTAACATTTACATTATATCCGTAACCCATAGCTAGCTAGCTAGCTAACTGCTGGGCCATGCTTCTGAAACAGAGCTCACACAATGTGAGTCTGAATGGTCAGATTTGTGGACACAGTGGAAAAATTTCTTTTCTGCCTTATTGTGCATCACGCCTGTAAAGTACAATTGCGGGGAAATACTGTGAGCCATTAAGTTGTCTGGGAAGCTAATGTAATACTAAGTTAACATATCATTTATTCCTACAGTTAAAGAGAAACGCTGTCTATTGCGTATAGAAGAAGTTAAATCACTTATAGGATCCTGCAACAGGTGACTAATGAAAGTAGGAAGCAGCGTCTAGTTACGCTACAAACAACGATGTAATAAACTTTCATAACAAGCACCGATAAATTTACTAAAGCTTATATAAGCTACTCACTGGGAGTTTATTGTCTGTGACTCAGAGCAGTGGTCAATTTCTGTAAGGGAGAGGAGCGCAAATAGTGGATGTTTACATATTGCTAACTCTGATTGATACTTTGGGAGACCTGATGTCACCTGCACCAAATTTAGTCCCAGCCAACTCAAATCAGACAGAAGAAAATTCCAGAAAAAGCCATAAAAATCTCAAAAGACCCACAGCACTGCCAGTTTTCTCTGCCAGTTTATCCTAAAAACACCAAAAAAAATATAGATAGTAGAAGAAAATCATAGAAAACGAGTAGATCATTATGCTTCAAACTGTGTTTTGTTGTTAAGTCATATAGAATTTGCTTAGTTTCTGACCATGTATGAACACAATTCAAGCATTAAGATTCTCCTACTGTTTTGAGCTGTACGAAATGTCCATTGCAGTACACTGTAAAAGCCCTGTGGAACAGGACAGAAGTCGATCTGAAGTGTTTTTGAGGTTTGATTTGGATCTAAAATATTGCTTTTATCCATCTAAACTAAAATTTAGCTTTGCATTGTTTCATTAAAAGTATTTGAGTTGAATAAAAGCAGTTAAATTGTTTGTTACCACATGAAGTAGTTACTGTGTAGTTAGATATCAGTATGTCAAGTAGTGTAATAAACCACATAAGCAAGTCTGTTTGATAGGTTGATGTGATTTGAGGCAAATCTGGGATGATGCAGCTTGTGCAATGCTAATTCCTAGCTGAAAGTTTCCATTGCTTGTTAGCTACATTAGTTTCAGTGCAAAACTGAATTAACAAGTTTCGTACACCAAGTGTTAACTAATCAACTGTATTTGTAAGAGCAAAACTGTATAAATTAGATTTTGCACTTCCAAACAGGACTTTTTTGGGGGCAGCTTTCAAAAAGGTGCATATCCAGAAATGCATATGCAAAGTATCAGGAGATGAGCGTGAAGCTAGAAAGGTTTAATATATGCACAGTGTGTGCTGTGATCTCGCTCTTCCCTCTAGGCGTCTTGCCGAGGATGTTTAATTTTCAAATCTGACGTTCTTTTGATATGTTCCCCCTCCCGCAAACAAAATTAGCTGCTTTGTCCAAAAATGACAGCAAATAACGATCCTACTGCCCTGGCAATTTCATCTTAATAAGGTGTCACTTCTCGTTTACACGTTTATTTTGGTGCTGTCACGCCTGGATGGTGGTGCTGTCTCAAGATTGTTTCAGGCAAATTGGAAAGTTAAATCTCTTGAGATTGTGTGCCTGAATTGTGATGGGTTCACACTCTTCCTTCAGCAGCCACTGTATTTTTCCCAGGTTGTGTCTCCTGACAAGGTGTCTCAGAGACTTCATGTGGCATGAATTTGCAAGTTCTGTCTCATCTTTTATGCTACTTTGTTCTTCGCCTGCCTTGGTTCTCCTGACCCTGCTGGGCTCAGCAGATAGCATGTTTACTGACAGAGAGACGGAGAAGGAGAGCAAACGTGAGGGGGAGGGAGAGGGGATAACAAAGCCTCTTTGTTGTGAGGTGGCCATTTTGAGGCCCCTTGGTCTGTAGTGTGGCGTTGTTCAAATAGACAGCATGGTGCACAGGGATCTCCAAACATCAAAGCTGACTTTAAAGACGGGATGCAATCTATAATTTCTGCCTTGATCACAAAAGACTATATATCCAGGATTCTTTGGTTATGGGTTAAAATCGGTGGAGGTCCGGTAAAGTAATTTGTGTGTGATTAGACTGGCCGATTTGTATGGGAATAAAGGATCTGTGTAAGTTCCCCAAATTACCCCAAATAGGCCAGATCGAATGATCACACAGGTGTTTGCATCAGCTTTACGCAACAGGTGCCACACTTCCGAACAATAACATGGTGGTGGCAAATGGCAAATAGACTAGCATTAGGCTAGTGAAGTGGGTTCACCAAATGCCACCCAACAAGACAGAAAACACATTTCCTTGTGAGAAATACTTTCAAGATATTTCATTTTCCTTCTTGTAATTTGATCATCCCCAAAAATGTGGTGGATTTCAACAGTTTTGTCATGAACTTGAGGATTGAGATGCTTAAAGTAACGTCTTTACCGGCAGCTCCAGGTTCCAAAACGTTGGACCAAAATCTCAGCATGTAACTGATGCAAGAGTTTTATTTATAAAATACAAAACATTAAAAAAACGCTGCAAGTCAAAGGTAGCGGCAATAGTGACATGCACTGATGTTGGCGGTGATGCATAACGCAAGCAGAACTTTAAGCCTCATTCACCAATATCTTCCTTTTTTCTTAATTTTGTTCTTGAGAGGTTCTAAGAAAAAGTCTACGTCAGAGTTGTGACGTGCACCTAAACCACAGTGTTCTTTGCACCTTTGTGCTCTTGAGTGTGTGTAGATTCTGTTCTTACCTAAGAACTAATCCTAAATAAGAAAACACTGGTGAATATCAGAATCTTTGTGAAAACTGCATAAGTGGGTTTTAAAAAGAAATTTCTCCTTAAGAACAGTTGGTGAATGAGGCCCACTGCTTTCTTGCATCATAGGGCTTTTGTCAGATTGTTTTAATTGTACAGTCTTCATTGCAGAACCTGTGACCATAAATGAAATCCCACAAAGAATTTTCCTCAGAATTTAGATTAGTATTTGCTTATACATCATTTCATTCTTTGCAGTGCAACATACAATAAGTGTGTTAATCTCCTGCTATTTAGTTCTCAGTCTGATATTGTTCAGCTTATGGTTCAGCTTTGCCGACTATATTCACCAATAAGTCAAAACATTATGCCTACTAAACCGTTGGTCTTCCGTGTGTCACCAAAACAGTTCCAGCCCACCGAGGCTCTACAAGACCTCTGAAGGTGCCTTGTGGTATCTGGCACCACGACGTTAGCAGAAAATTCTAAAAGTCCTGTAAGTTGTGAGGTGGAGCCGCCACATATAGGACTTCTTGCTCCAGCACATCCCACAGATGCTTGATCGGAGTGAGCCTTACTATTTCAGACATGCTCTAACCCAGTCATCTGGCCATATTTACCTTTTACTTGTAAGGAGCTGAAAGTGAGTGTCTAAAAGTGCCAGTCTGCAGACGGATACTACCACATTTTTCTGGCATCCAGCACAAAAAATGACCATTCGCTTAGGATCTAATACATCCCACACCTCAACGTGTGCCTTTGTCGCAAGATAATCAGTGTTATTCATTGATTAAAAATCAAACAGGTAAATTGAAAAGGGTGGCCTAAACTTTCTCATACGGCTACAGTGGTCATATCATCTTTTCAGACAAAATGACACATACAGTTCGCTAACTAAAATGAGCAGAGGTTAGTGATGATGCTTTTTCCCTGAAGTTGGGTCTAGATGGGAAGCTTTTTCGCTCACTTCCTCCTCAGACAGGAAACAGACCATTTCAGATGGTTTGCAGTCATGTGACCAGAGTCCCTCGAAGCTGAGGCCGATCTGGTCATACGCCAGTGTGTTAATTTTCCTGTTCATTTGTGGTACATGATTCCAGCTAAAGGAGCCAATTATAGAGTTGTGTTCTGCTAGCACTGTGAATGATTCATGTGGCTGACGCAGTTCTCGCAAAGAGCCCTGTGGTTTTTCACATTGTTACATAAGCCCAAAGCGCAGCAATGAAAATCCAGCCTGATCAGAGGTGAATCTGAACCTGTTCTCCGCTTGGTTTTTCATACCCACGCCTCCCACTGCGTCCTGGGGCGGTGGAAAATTTGTGCTACCACACTCAATCACTGAGTGGAATTAAGCTGAATGAGTTGCCGTTAAGCAGTATATAAGAGCAGTCGTCCCTCGAAGCTGCTCAGGTCTAATTAGCAGAATCGCAGCCATCACTCTCTGTTTGAAGTGTTCTGTTGGCTTCGTGAGATGAAGGTTCTGTTTGTGTTAATTGGCAGGTTGTGCTACAAAAGGCATCTACGCCTTCGCTCCCCATCTGCACACAAACTTGCTGCAACATCATGATGAACTTGATTCTCAGAAGACTTATTATTAGTGTGGAATGAAGATCATCTCAGACACACAGCAGTGTAAGAACATCAGAATGTTGGCATTCATGCTGATGACTTTAGTGAGTGTTGTACAGAAAACAGGTGAGGAGTTCTTGTGATGTGTGAGAGCTGCCACCTACAGGTGCTGCATGTCATTACCGGTCTAATTACTTTAAGTCTTATAATGAGTCCTCTGGAGAACGTCATGTGAAGAAGAACTTTGGGGATTTCTAATGATTATTTTTTTGTTTTATTCTCTTACCCTGGTTACAGAGCTGGAGTCCTGTGCGCATACGCAGCCAATCAGCACCTGAGTTCTCAGCTAAAGACTATGAGGAGGCTGGTAAACAATAACCTGAGGGATTTACATACCTTCGCCAATGACACGCCAACGGTAAACAGTCAAGGCTTTAACTTTCACCATATTCATGAACTGTGATTGATGCAAGAGTGGATATATACTATAACATTATGTCCAAAAGTGTCCAGATTCTCCTTCTAATGAGTGCATTAGGCTACGTATCTCCATAGAAAGACATTAGCAATAGAATGGGACGTTCTGGAGCCACAAACGAGGTCGCCATGCCTAATGCTAAGCATCATCTAGAGAGGTATAAAGCCCCCCAGCACTGGGCTGTGGAGCAGTGGAACTGAGTTCTCTAGAGTGATGGAGCTCCATCCAGTATCTTTGGGATGAGTTGGAGATCCAGAACTGATCATCCAACATCAGTACCTGACCTTACTAATGCTCTTGTGGCTAAATGCCATCAAATCCTCACAGCAATGTTCCATCATCTAGTGTAAAGCCTTCTGAAAAGAGTAGAGACTCTTACTGTGAAAAATCAAGGGCAAGCTCCTTATTAATACCCTTGATTTCAGAAGAAACTTTGGTTGAGCAGGTGTCTACAAACTTTTGGATGTCTAATAATCTGTTTTGTTGTTGTAGTAATAAGTTCACATACTTATTACTTTACATAAGAAGGAAAAAATGTTATTAAATTCTTCTCCAAAATATTAACTTCAGATTGATTTTTACGTAGCATTCAGTGACTAAATGTTCTTTTAACATGGATTCATTCAGGAAGGAAGGGTAGGAGGGGGAATAACAGTGTCGTAACTGTGTATTTTTATGCAAAAAAAATGGGATAATGGCATTTTTTTCTAAATTGGAGGATGAATCACCTCTTTTTATCATCTCTCTCACAGCAAATTGACTATCTAATAAGTCAGTATGGCACTGCAAAGGACCAAGTGCTCTGTGACCTAGACAGTAAGTACAGCTGTTGTGTCCTACATGCTTAAATAAAGATGTCAAAAAGGATTCTATGGTGTGAAGAATTGCTTTAGGCTCCCTTAAGAACTTTTCAATGGATAGTTCTTTAGCCTTTTACTGTATGCCCCCTAGTGGTCATTCCAGCAGCCAGGTGGAAAACACATTGGATATATTCAATTAATATAATCAAATAACATATTTCCCCCATAACTCTGTTATCAGATTAATTAGGACACTGTGTTGAGCTGCTAGTGAGCAATGAGGGCTGTAAGGGGAGGTGAGAACCCTCCGCTCTGAAAACATTTCACACCACAACCACAAAGACCACCATGCCAAGATAAAACAGCACAACTGCAGCTTCCTTGATATAAAGAAATTGCGTACTTCTAAATGTTGACACTCTCATGAATGTTGATTTTCTTGGTCACCTATTAAGACAAAAATCCAGTTCATTTCCAGTTTTGTAAATCATACACATTTCCATTGAAATATAGTACATCCATGTCATTAAAGAAAATATGTTATCTAGTTCAACTGAGCTCCAAATTGGTCCAAACTGCATTTTTTAGGTACTGCGAAAAGGTTAAAGAACCATTTTTGAATATGAGACATTGTAAATGTGAAAAGCCTTTTTAAAGTGTTAAGAATCTCCACATAATATAAACAAAGATTTTATAGTTGTGGTCCTGAAGGTCTGGTGTCCAGCACAGTTTGGTGGTTGCCCTGCTCAGGCGTACCTGGTTAAACTCATTTGTTAATTGCCAGGTTTAGTTAGCATGTTTTAGCAGGGAAATCATCCAACTGTGCTGGACATCCACCCTCCAGGACCAGACATGAAGAACCCTGATGTAATATTGATGTAAGGTGTACACGAATTAAAGATGTTTCCTAGAACAGTACATCCAGGCCAGTAACCATGTAGGAACGTTTATCTTTAGGAGTGTATGTAGCTTCCTATGCATGTGTTCTGACATTAGGCTTGTGTGTGCACAGATGTAGGTGTGTTGTTGGGCGGAAGGATACATGAGGAGCTGGGGAAAGAGGTGCGACCTGCTCTGGACGGAGTGCTGAACATGGCTGGAGGTAGTGCAAGCCCTCTCCAGTCACTCCGCACCACCCCCTTATCTCTCTCTCTTTTCTTTCAGTCTTAATCAGGAGTGTCACATTAAAAACAACCAAATACAATCATTTTTATTCATTTTTTCACATATTGCACTAAATTTAATTAAAGAGATCTGTGGCATGCAACCATCCCCTGGGCCCGGACGATGGCCGCTGGGGCCGAACATGAGGCAAATTAAAGTGGCTTCGCCGCGGGACCGGTGTCCCTCCTTCCCTTTGCGGATTTCATCGTCTCCCCACTGTCTTCGCAGGCCTTCGTCTGGGCCCACAGTTCGGGCCCTGCCTTCCTGTTGGCTCTCGCTGCCATCTTTAGGGCCCAGGGGACTGCCGCATGCCATAAGATCTAATTATGCTGTTTTTGTAATGTAATGTAGTTATTTAGTGTCTTAAAAATGCTGATGATAGCATATTGTGATGTAGTTTATCACAATAACAGTGAATATCGTCATATTGCCCAGGCCCAGCTGTAGGTGAGAAATAATTAACATAAAATCATAACATGCCAGTGATAATTGTGACTTCTAAAGGGTTAAACATTATCTTATTTCTCTTGCATTACAATCCCTGCAATAACTCTGTGGATTATAAACTGTTATAACGCCAACAGGTTCTTCTCTTGTTAGTTCACTTGTCAGTGTCTTAAAATTCTCTCTTGTCTTTGGCCAATTAGTCAAAGTGGAGAAAGCCATGAAAGGTAACCACTGCTAAACCCCGACTGGTTCTCCCTATGGCCTCATCCCAGTGAACGTGCTTGGTTCCTTTCTTTTTCCCCCTCAGTCTGGCTGTTGACTTCCCTGAGTAATACCTTTGCCCAGTGGAACCTGCCCAACCTGAGTGCTGTCCTCAAGATATTTAAGTTGTGCTTGTGGAAAATCTAAAGGATTACTTTACTTTAAAGGAACTCAGAATGCTAACACTGCTGATTATGAATGAAAGCTAGAAGGGGCTGAATAGCTTTATGCTATTGGTCCCAGCTAGTTGTAATTCGGTGTTAGCACTGTTATCATTTTGAAATCTTTTTTCAAATTAAAGTGTGAAGTGTGATAGCGTCGTCCCCTGATCTCCTTGATTAGCGTTGTTGCTGCATGTCAATGATGTTCTTAAAAATTGAAAAAAATTATACTGAAGGCCTGCTAATGTGTTTAACAGTCAGTCTGAGTAACTGTATGTGTGTCACCCTCACAGTGATGCGGGACACCAAGGAAGCTCTGGAGAACGTGAGTGTGACGTTGGAGACTCTACAGGAGGGCACGGGGAAGCTGCAGTTTAACCTGAGCGTGGTGCGAGCAGGCCTCAGCAATGCTCTCAGCGACCCGGCCTGTGCAGATACCCTCTCGCCCACAGCGCAAATCTGCCGCAGTATTCGGAGCTCACTCGCCCAGCTCGAGATCAGCGCCAACTACTCTGGGGTGCAGTTCACCTTGTCTCTCTTTTTAAAGGAGTTATATCATGAAAAATGCCTTTTTGAATTTTCCTTTTTTGGTGTATCATATAAACGTTCTTAAAGGTTCAAAACATACAGCTCAATCCCTCAATACCATATAAGTAAACTAGGCCAATATATCGTAACTGTGATCCACTTTTAAAGTTGCACTATGTAAGATTTTTAATTGAATTTGAATCAGAAGAGAAAAAACACTAAAATGAATCTGCTGCGTAAAGCCTGGAAAAATAAGTGTTGGATCAGTTTTTCAGGCAATGTCATGCATCTTTACAAATTAACATCACAGGCTCAAAATAAAGATCCGGTTCAGTGTCTTAAATGCAAAATCAACATTATTCCAATGACAATAGTAGATAATTCACTCATAAAATGCATCCATCAGTTTTAACTGAGTTTTCGTTGAGTCCTCTACTTTTAACACCCTCAGAATCATCAGATTCATCCACTCTGGGAAGATGTCTGAATAGGGCTTAAAGATGAATTGTTTTTATATCGAAATCGCAATTTAAACAAGTGCAACAAACATTACAGAATGTTCTTCCACATGTTGCCAAATCTCCAAATCTTACATAGTGTAGCTTTAAGCCTAGACTGCTTTTCGAAGCAGTTTAATATGGTACGGAATGTAGCAGTTTAATATGAACGGAATGTAGTGTGAAAATGAATTATGATGGTGTTATAACTTCAGGGAAAAAATAAAATGCGAGAAATACATAGATTTAGCCCTGTTAACACATGCTGTCTTGACTTAATTTCACAAATTCCTTCATCCTTGAAAAACTGAGCAAGATATTGTATCTTTCAGCTGCCTGATGTGACTGACCAGTTGACCAAAGTGAATGAAGTTTTGAAGACTGATCTCAGCTTCAGTGTTCAGAGGGTACCACATTAGTTATCTACTGTATGCTAGGTTATCTTTGGGTAGTGTACTTTAGTTTATGGTTTTTAGACTCATGGATTTGAAAAGCTGTTCTTTCTCTAAGGCTTTTATCTCTGGTCCTGCAGGGGCTCTTGGCCTTTAATGATACCCCAACCATGGTTACAGACCAGACCAGAAATGTTGCAGAAGGTCAGGCACATGAACGCATGTTCCTTCCACCCATTATACGCCATACGTAATCTGTCATGCGCCAATATGCTTAAAACAAAATCCTTCTCGTCTCATGTTTTCTGAATGTTTGTAGGAGTCAGAGGCTTGTTGGATGGCATTGGCAGCAACATCACCAGTTTCTCCAGGCTGTTCCCAATCCAGAGCTCCCTGAACAACTTTACTGTTTTTATCAGTCACACACACTCACGCATTGAAGATATCTACCCAGAGATCGACCAAATAGACTTCTACAGGTATTTTAGCCATGTGACTGATAGGACTCAGAAAGGATTTAATAGCATATATTTTTTAGTACACGACAACCTTTTAATGCTGAGGCACAAAAAGTGACTATTTCTTTTTTTAATCTGCTTTTCTCATTTAATAATGTGATTTTTTATTTTGACACAAACTAGCATTTAATAGAAATATACTTTGTTTATTGATGAATGAAATCAGTAATAAGCCCATAGCATGGTGAACTCCATTCTGAAAGTGTGCATGCGCCCATTCAGAAAATACTGCTGTGCATCCAATAAAAGGACAGCGTGATGCTTTTTAATACAGTGATAGAAAACACTGTCGCAAACAGAAAGCCTGGTCATTTTACTATGGCAAGCATGGATATGCAAGCAGGCCAACTACTCTGACAGCAGATTTAAAAGAGTTGAAAAGGACAAAGACAAAGCCTCTCGATGTTTTACCAATGAGAAGTTAGGTTTGATAGGCTTACTTGGCCTAAATTTCACAATGCCGTATGCATTAAATGTTGGTTATATTTTTACATTTCTTTACATCTACTGTAATATTCTTGATTTATAACCTTATTCTAACTCTTTTGATAATGAAACACCTGCAGATGGATCTGTTGCATCACCCTCTGCTGCATGGTGGTGCTCATCTTATCCTTCAATTTTCTTGGTCTGCTGTGTGGAATTCTGGGATTTGACCGACATGCCTCTCCTACGACCCGCGGCTGCGTGTCGAACACCGGAGGGAACCTGCTCATGGCGTAAGTGCAGATTTTGACTTGTGCTAGAAGTGTGCTCTGTCTAAGTTTTCAGGGTTTTATCTAAGGCCTTGGATCTATAACTTGTACTGATCTTGCATCTCTCAGTGGGGTGGGCTTCAGCTTCCTGTTCTCCTGGGTGCTCATGGGAGTGGTGACAGCCACGTTCGTGGTGGGGGGCAATCTGGAGAAGCTGGTGTGCGAGCCTTTCAACTCTAGGCAGCTTTTCAAGGCAAGACTGCACCAACACTATATTCCATCGACTTCAGGATACTGTAGATGCTGAATATAAATTATTAACATACAGGTCTATATCACAGAAAAACAAAATTTCCATTTTTTTAAATAAAGGAGACCATGCCCTGTGTAAAGTTTAGAAGCACACCTTTCAGTACTCAGCTTGATAGGAACTGCAAGAACAACCTTTCATGGTTGTGACATCACAAACTGAAACATGTTTACTTAAACCCCTAAGCTGCTGTACTCCATAATCTTTATGATTACTATAATAATATAATATAATATAATATAATATAATATAATATAATATAATATAATATAATATAATATAATTCTTTTGAACAGCAGATCTTAAGATGATATGTCAAATTCTCAGCTTTAGAATGTATTTTAAACTGTTGTTGTGTTGTTTAGGTGCTGGACACCCCACACCTGGTGAACCCTACATGGAAGAACTTCATCCCTGGCTACCTGTATAATGATCCTGATATGGACCTCACAGTGGAAAACCTGTACAGGTGAATGGTCTAGCTGTCATCTTAGTAAGATGAGCATTGAAGCTTTTAAAGTTATGTCATAGGAAACCAAATCTTTCTCACTTTTAATAAAATTTTTGAAGTTGTTTAACGTATGTAAACATTTTTAGGTTTCAAAACAAACTATTTACTCCATACATTCTCAGAAATAAAGGTAGTAAACTGTCACTGAGGTGGTACCCTCAAGGGGAACATAACTGTACAATAATCCATTGAAATTATATTTTCTAAGCTGTACTGACTCCACACACCCCGTCTCATCTCCAGGCTTCTGTTTTAAAACATTCAGTTATAAAAAGGTGCAAGTATGTACTTTTTATCTGGAAAAAACTTGTACACAATTGGACCTTAAAACCACTTTTGTACCTTTGAGGGTACGTTTACATTGTTTGTACCTTGATGCACAAAAACTGTACCTGCACAGAACCTTTATTACTAACAGTGTATAGTCCATATATGGGTAAGTAGGCTGCAAAAATGGCCCATTCTGAGTTCTGTGAAGTCATGACAGCCAACACTTATATGCCAATACATTATACACCTATTCAGTCTGGAGCAGTTTAGCCCACTCATCTACACTGAAGCTATAAGGAGCGCTTCAGTTCAGACTGAAGCAGATTGCAGGGCAGCCAGTCAGAACAGCGGTTGTTTTCATATATCAATCTTAAACGCACAGGAAGAAAAACCGACTGTCAAAGAGACAAAGAGAGGTTGGAAAATTAGAAAATAGTCATGTAAAAATAAGTTTAGCCTTTTTTTAGTTTTTTAGTACACAAAACCATAAGTGGACCTCATGAAAGAAATATAAATATAAATAATATAAATGTAGGATATGAGTCCTTTAACACAATTTCCGATCACATCTGCTGTCAAACATGTCAAAAACATAACAGTTTGGAGATAAACCAAAGTTGTTGTGGTTAAAATCAGGCTAAACAGTTTACATTTGAATCTTAGATTAATCAGTACAAGCCTGATGCAGATTCATTTATGTGACATTGTGTCTGCACATCAGATGAAACTCAATTTCATAAGTACAAAGTTTCAACTGTTGTGATTTCCGATATTATATATTTTCATATATGGGCTCTTTATCACTGCAGCGCTACACTCATGTAAACACTTGTGCATTCCAGCAGAGGGCAGCAAAGAATAACAATAACAAATGCACTATTCAGAGCAAAACAGTGTTTTTATCAGATAACTGAACTGTAGATGCTAATTAGACTTTAGTTTCTGTCTTAACTGCCCCTCCTTCTCTATTCCAGTAACTGTAAGGAGAACAGGGGGATTTATTCTGCCCTTCACCTGGATAAAGTGTTCAACGTCTCAGCCTTGCTCAACACCAGTGTGGTGAGTAGATTAATGGATTAAAGGTGCTACATCTTAGATATAATTAAATTACATGACAGCATAGCTTTCCAGCTTCTTTGTTAATTAAACTCATTCTCCATATTGTTGAAAGCCACTTTTACTAACAGTATATGGTCTGCCTGTTGTACATAGTACCTTGTAAATGCCACATAAGATTAAATGTTAACACCACAATGAGCCAGTGGCTCTGATTACATTGCTGTGGTTCATGAAGCACTTCAACCTACTAAATGTGTCTCATCATGTATTAATTATTTCTTTTTTTCAGAAGTGTCTACTATATTTCCAGGGATATGTATACTTCTATTACCCTTACACCTTTTAAAACAGTTGTACACAAAAGTTTGGATAGCCCTGGTCAAATGACATGTTTTGTTGATTTGTTTTTAAAGTAAAAAGAAGTTAATACAACATCTGCATAGAACAAACCTAAATAGTGCACATTTCTGCCAAATTTAAGAAACAATTACAATTTATTTGCTGAATTTAATATATTTAAATGTAATATAACATATTAAATAATATATTCTAAACACAATTTAATATATTGAAACCTACAATAAAGTACAGCATGTGCAAATGTTTAGTTGATGCACTAGTGTTATTTTTTTGGAAAGGTCTTTCGTTTCTTTTGGAAACGTATTTGACTCATTAATCCTTAATCCAAGTCAGATGTAAACAGTTCCAGAGCACATTAAATTATGTGACCCGTCAAACCCCTCAAGGTGTTATGCTTACACTCAACAGCCAGGGACTCATCAAAGGATCTGAAACTAAAGAAAACTGACTCTTTCCAAGCAAAAGAAGACGATAAAAAATATCTAAACACTGCCTCCTTGTAATTTCCACTGTCTGAAATATCATGAAGAAGTAGAAGTTAACTAGAACTGTTGAAGTCAAGACAAGATGTGGAAGACTTAGAAAAATCTCTGAAACTGCGCTTAGGATTGTGAGGTATGCAAAGCAAAACCCTGATATCACTACCAAGAACCTACCTGAATTTTTGGCTAGCACAGGCACAGGAATAGTGATTCACTGGCCCACTGCAGTGTTGTTGCACATGTACTACATGGATTGGTTATCAGAGGGAAGCCTTAACTGTGATCTCATCACGAAGGTATGAATTATGCATTGAAGTGCATTCTGTGGACTGAAGAAACAGAAAGTGAAATAATTGGCTGGATTCTATCGATTTAGTAAAAAAGAGCAGCATTTGATGAAAAGAACACCTTGTCAGCTGTTAAGCATGGGAGTGCATCTATTTCGCTTTGGGGTTATGTGGCAGCCAGTGGCACAGGAAATGTTGTGGGAACAGAGGGAAGAAAGGATGCTTCTAAATATATATAAATCCTGGAAGATATGGTCCCACAGTCAGTGAAGAAGAAAATAGGTTGGATATTAGAACAAGACAATGATCTAAAACATACATCAAAATCAACTTCAAACCACTTCAAGATTAAGGTTTGAAATGACGTTCATCTGTTTCCGGACTTGAATATTACAAAAAATTTGTAATTAGATCCTAAACGTGCATAAAAGACTATTAATATTTCTAAACTAAAGAAAAATAAATAAAAATATGAAAAAAAACTAATTCAAGAAGTGAAACACTACAAGAAATATTTGTAGGCTGTGATTTCAGCCAAAGAATGTTGTTTAAACTTTTGTACAAGCCACTTTTTTTTTCCCAATGTGTTAAATTCATCAATTAAATATTATTACTGTGCATTAAATGCAGAAATATATCATATTTAAGTTTGTTCCACGCAGAGGTGGCAGTAACTTCTTTTCACTTAAAAAAATAAACAAAATGTGTAATTAACCAGGGGTGCCCAAACTTAGACAACTGTACTCTATCTCTGTTGCTGTTTAGAAGCGAATAACAAGAGATGGAGCGTTTCAACCACTGCTATCGGAAATGGTCTGTAATCCAATTTTAGTGCACATTAAATATGGTAGACAGTCAGCATAAGAAAACAGCTCTGACACTGAGCAAGGCCAGAGCCACGTCTGGCAGAATTAGCCTCCTCTCACCCCGTGTTATCTTACATCTTGAATCCATGCCAGTCTTACCTAACTCCGAGCACATGATACCCCTTGATTTCCTTTTACTTCATCCTGCGAGTCTGCAGCCAGCTGGCAAGCTTAGCAGCTTCTTCTGCTGTTAATGGAGAGAGCCGGCCAACACAATGCAAATGAGTCGTTTCCTTAAGCAGGCATGGCTGCGTGCCCTGTCAGATGGCAGTTATGCTGTACTTTACACACCCCGACTTGCAAATTTTGGCTCCATGTTTGATGGGTAATAAACTTAATTAGGTGCTGTTGACTTCAGTAGTAGAGTTATTAGCAGTGGATAGCTGTACATTTGTTTCCTCATACTTTTACTACCCACAGAGACACATAATGTGGGCTTTTCTAGCTGGCACTGTCTCTATCTTGCTAAATGTTATTGTGTAGGAGCCTCAGTGTGAACATTTCAGTTGCTCTGGGCAACAGCATACCTTACTGTGGAGCTTGTCTCTGTTAGGTCACGAGGGTCTTTCTCTTCTGCATTGCATAATGCCTTTTAACTGGATGTAAACATTTTGTTTTTCTCTCACGGTTATGTAATTGCTGTTTTTTTTCCCTCTGGCCATGCATGAATATAATTTAGAGCGTGTTCATACCATAAACTATATCTGTGCTGAATTACAGTCCCACTCAACTCTTTTTACTGTTTTTATGGCCACATATTAATCCTATTCTTGGACTAAATTGCAATGCCGTTAGAAATGTTGCATATAAACTGCTTTTATTTGAAGAATAAGCTTAATGTGTATTTGGAACACTTGCCTTCGGATTTTAACCTTTAGAAGTTTTTGCAATTTTAGATATTTATATGTAATTTTGCAAATTTATAGTGCGTTATTCACGTCAAATGATATTGGCTTTGTATGCAAGCGAATGTTAGATTGAAGGAAAGTGGTTTTTGTGTGTGTAATTGAGCTAATGTTAGCATAGTAGCAAATTCATTGTTTTCAACCTGTCTAGTTATGTTATGTTGCTGCTCCAAACAAAGCTTGTTACAATTTCTTATTAGGTTGAATGGGATTTTTGTAAAGCTTGTCCAACTTAGCAACTCTAGTTGTGGACCAGAGCAGCACTGTTCCCAGAGCAGACTTCAGAAGTGTGAATGTTTGAAATGTGCTGCTCTGTTTTAACAGCTTAATTTCTAAAGACTAATCCACAACAATAATAATCTTTCATTTAGCTCTTAAAGGCACCTCAACACTGCTGTGGTTTGTTCTTCTCCTTCGCTAGTACACTAAGGACATGGCCCAAAAGTTTGAAGGTGTGAAGGTGGATCTGAGGTCAATCATCCTGTTGGACTCGGAGGGCAAAGAGAACCTCATCAGCTTCACAGAAACTGGGATTGGAGAGATCAACTTTGCTGCATATCTGGAGGAGGTACACTCTCACATGTATTCCAATGCCTACAAGGACATGGGTGTTCCTTGCAATACTTAAAGTACTTAAAAAATGTACAAATAAATAATGAATCTTTTATGTAATATGGTTAAAGATTGACCTGCATTATTTTGACCAAAATGATTTACATTTGGTGACGTAAATCATTTTGGCAGGCCCACCGGCAGGCCCAAAGTTTTACTACACACTTCTAAAACCTAAGAACAGCTCTGCTAGTTTGTATTGCAGTCTATAGTTACTGAATAAATAGCCATGGCATGTAATAAGCCTGGGATTTTAAAAGGTTAAAACGTGCAGGGGTGTGTTCTCTGTAGAGGATGTGTGAACTTATTTTCAGTTAGAAAATCAACTGAAAATACACTCACCAAGCCCTTTATTAGGAACACCTGTTCACCTACTCATGCATGCAGTTATCTAGTCAGCCAGTTGTGTTGCAGCAGTGCATAAAATCATGCAGATGTGGGTCAGCAGCTTTGGGTAATGTTCACATCAACCATCAGAATGGCAAACAAAATTGATCCTGCTGATTTTGACTGGCTGGTTTGAGTGTTAGTATAACAGCTGGTCTCCTGGGATTTTTACACACAACAGTTTCTACAGTTTACTCAGAATGGTGCAATACAGAAAAACATCCAGTGAGCAGCAGTCCTACAGTTGGAATCACGCTGTTGGTCAGAGAGGTCAACAGAAAATGTCCAGACTGGTTCAGGCTGACAGAAAGACCACAGTAACTCAGATTACCCCTCTGTACAATGGGGTTGAACAGAAAAACGTCTCAGAATGTCACGTCAGTCCTTGAGGTGGATGGGCAACAACAGAAAAACATTACTAGTGGACATACCTATACTTATGTGTTTATGTCTTATTTGCAGCTAAATAAAGGAGTGACCCGTGTTGATTTGCTGTCATTTGCCAGCAACCTGGACGCTCAAGCTGACCAACTGGTACGTCCTGTTTTACTGTGCAACAAAAATGTCTTATTGAAATGAAGGAATAGGTGTAAAAGGTGTAATTTGGCTGGCAGTGTGTGTACGTGTTCAGTGCTCTGTGCAGCTGTTGTAGGAGCGCCCCCTCCTCAGGCATTTATCAGTCCTAGCTCCTCAAGAATGTTCATAACAGTTATAAAAAATGAAGCACTGAATTTACTTTATTCATCTACGTATGTGTGGATCAAATATATCAGTGCAGTTTTGCCCTTTGTTTTTGCCAGTAATCATGTTGATGTAATATATTTCTGACACTGAATGATGCATGTGTGAGGTTTTATTGCAGTTCATTGAAACTACAAGAGAAAATGCAGGCAATGATGTAGAAAATAGGGGATGCCAAAAAACAGCAAAGGGAAAAAAACTAAGCTAAAGAACTTAACTAAGGTGACAGATAGAATGCAAAACAAGGAAAGAACCTATCAGGGCTAACAAACACTTAGAACAGGGGTGCCAGTTCCTGATTTTGGAGATCTAACACCCTGGAGAGGTCAGATCCAACACACCTGGCAATAATGTTCAGATGACTCTGAAGGCCTGGAGCAAAACTGCAGGGTGGCACATCTCTAGAACCAGGATTGAGCACCCCTGACTCAGAACTAGAACCTACAAGCTACTGAGCGGCATGACAACCGGTCGAAGAAGGAAATCCAGAACAAAAACAGGAACGAAGGTAAACAGAAAGGGCAAGATGTTGCAATATTATATTTGTGTAGAAATTATGTTGGTCTACTTATGTGATTCAAGTAAATTCAGCACATAATAATAATAATAATAATATATCATTATTTAGGCAGCATCTTTCAATTTATCTCAAAATCTCAAAGTGTTTTATACAGGCATATAAGTAAAAGAGTAGAAAGATGAAACCCCATGGTCTAAAATGAAATAATTACAATTACAAACAACAGGAAAAATGAGCCACAATGTTTTAGGCATATACTAGCTTAAACAAATGCATTTTTAATCTGTATTTAATAATGCTTATCATGCTTGCCTTCCTGATATTATCTGCTATTAAAGACGTTGGAATGAGGATTCTAATAAAGGATGCTAGTCAAGAATTTAAGAGCTATATACAAAAAATTGGTCTTCCACCAACCGAGCTGTAAGAGATGCTAGGCATTTGCAGTAAGCCTGCCTCAGTTGGTCTGAAGGAGCTCTAATGCTTCAACAGATCAGTAAGATATACGGGAACTAGGCCATTATGAGCTTTGAATATTATAAGCAAGACCTTGTAGTTGATGGGGAACTTAACAGAAAGTGTTTGAGATTTATATAGATGATGAATTTTTCACTCCTGAATTGTTATTTTGCTTTGCTTCATTTAAATGTATATATACTTGATATTTTTTAGATTGAACAACAAATATTTGTTACAGTGCTTGCACACACACACACTCTGACATGGATTACTGGTACTAAAAAAGGTTCAGTGGTATAAACATGTATCCACATGTCCTTTCCATGGTAATCTTTTGTCTGACTGTTTTCCAGTCTAAAGGATCATTACAGACTTCAATAAAAGGCCATGCCAACACACTCCGACAGATCTACTCCCATCAAGTCGTCTCCATCCAGCAGTCCATGGTAATCAATTCACTCTCAGTGGCCCTTACATGACAAGCTTTTATAGCTAGAATTGTTGTAGGGGTGTTTCTTACCTCTTTCTCTCTCAATTGTCTTTAAACCATTCTCCAAACCCAAGAAATATGTTAGAGCAAGGGTAAGCTTGTGTGTCCGGCTGAACCCAGCCTTATGCCTTTGTGTGATTTTGCTTGATCCTAATAATACAGCAAATGAAATTGACTGTACCTGTCACCATAAATGTGGTTCTGGATGATATTCTGATTATTCAACAACCTCAACAACCAGAATATCAAATCCTTACATTTGTATGCAGAGATAATAGGAAAACTGAATGGAAATACTTGCTTAACTGTTTGTAACCAAAGTGATCATCAAGCTTCATAAACTAGCAAGATGTTTTGTTGGATTATCCAGTTGACGTTTGCCAGCATGCTTACTTCAAATGTACTGTTCTCATTATGCAGTACATCAACTTCTGTCTTCTTGTTTTAGCATGTCCAATTATGCATGTAAATTTTGTTGTATACATACCTGTTATGAGCATGTTATAACATGGAGCATAAATGTCTAATTTTCATATTTTTTAACTTTATTTTTTATTCAAACACAATTGTTACAATGCTAAACGTGATGTAAGCTTTAAATATGGACCCTCACATCCATATCATCTATGCATTTGGAGTTTAGATCATGATGATGATTTGTAATGTGTCTCTGTTTTGTACTTTATTAAAGAACACTCTGAACCAGAGCATCAGGTTTCTGGAGAGGACGTCATCAGATCTTTCAGTAAGTGCCCTACATCTTCATATAATGTGATCTTGCTGCCCATAGCGTAGTAAAGCTACACTGATTTAAGCGCACACGACACACCTTTCACCATTGTCTATCTTTCAGAACAAAGTTTCAGAAGTGCTCACAGCCGTTGATGCTGCACAGTACCTCATCTCCCAGAATGCAACATTTATTGTCAATCAGGTAATGTGATAAGCCCATGCAATCCTACCAGCCTTTAGTAGTGTTATCTATTTAAAGGAGGATTAATCTCTGTGTACGTCATCTGCAGGAAACTGAGAAATACAAGCAGACCATCATTGGATACTTCAAACAGTACATAGACTGGGTCAAGACCTCTGTGAGTGTTGTAATTTACTACTGTTTATTCAAGGTCATTAACTCAAATCTAGTATTTCAGGACTTTTTATGAGGTCGTATAAAACACATGTAAAATTGTGCTGGTGTCGTGTTGCAAATCTGACTTGCGATTTCAGCAAATTTATGCTTTCTCATAGCTGGAAATGGAGGTGGCCACCTGCAAGCCCCTCAGTAACATCATGGACACTGCGGAGATTCTGGCCTGCAGCTTCCTCCTGGACTCGATGGTGAGAGAATCACAGAGCTTTCTCTTAAAATCGTCCAGTCAGTACAGAGAGAGGCAGAAGGAATTACACAGAAAAAAATATGCATTGATGCAAATGTTTGTCACGGGAATAAAATCTGCTACATCAGCACAGTTTTATCCTAAAGTCTGCCTGTGTTTGGCAGTAATTGTGTTGATGTAGTATACTTTTTTATGTGGAATAATCAAGTGAGTATTTAGTAATCAAGTTAATTCAGTGCATTAGACAACTTGGCTGTCATGCTATAGGACTCTGGAAAGAACATGCGTTTGTATTTCTATCTGCGAGTTTGGACCATACATTCAGTATATGGTTATAATATAGTATGGTGTCTATAGAGCCGATGGAGACTGTAGTATCTAGTATCTTTCACTCCTACCATTTTTTAAAGTAGGACGCACTGACAGAACTAATGAACAGGGAGCAGATGGAGAGGAGGTGGGGCATGAAAACTTCAGAACATAAAGATAGGATGTTAGATTGGAAGGAGGTGGAGCTGCATATTATTACATGACTCCATGTCATGTATTATAAAGGTTCTCAGTTCGATCCGCTGTCTTAATGGACCCCTGTATAGCAGACATGCACTTCAGTTGAGAAGTAATACTTCTATAGTATTTTCCACATTTTAGAATAGAAAATCCTCAAACACACTTAAATATGCATTTTCTGCTAATTTTAATGCAAAATGGTTATTTATTTGCTGAGTTTAATATATTGAAAATCATAAAAGATAAAATATAATATGTGCCATAATTTATGCACAGGCCATATCGCATGTGTCTTTTTTCCCAATATTTTAAATTCAGCAAATAAATAGTAATTGTGCATTAAAGTGTGCAGAAGGGTGTTTACTGTAGAGGATGTGGACTAATTTTCACTTAGCAAATCAACAAAATTTTGCAAATGTAATATGTAATTACAAAAATATGTCATTTTAACACGTCAATAAACAACAGAAACAGAAATTTCTGCACTTGAATCTATTTTTCACCATCTTTCAACTTTTGATTCTAGAAGCTGTTGTCGTACTCATTTTGATATTTACTAGGGCTGCCAACGTTAACATGTTAACGTTCACGATTAATCTAGAAACTTTAACACGTTTTTTTAACGCAGTTAATCATATTACCAGGTTTGACCCCGTAATTTCCCACGCAGATTTACTGAAAGGCGCAAACATAGATAACACGATGACTAAGGAAGCATCCCCTGGTGGGCTGAATGGCAAGTTTCATTTTAAAAAGCTTCCAGATAGAAGTTTGGATAAAACTAAAGTTCCATCTGGAACTGGATGACTAAAGGTCACCACTATAGGAACAGATAGCGCTCACAATATGATCAAGGCAGCAAGGAATCCACCATTCAAGCATATGCCTTGTGCAGTGCACATTATACAGAGGGTCATCACAGTGGCTCTCAGTCACAGCGGGTTTGTCGATGTTTTGGCCAAGTGCTGTAAAATAGCCAGACATTTCAAACAGTCCTGCAAACGCAGCAGGGCTGAGAGTTCAGCCTCTCGTGGTCAAGCAGAGGAGACACTAGTCCAGGATGTACCCACGCGCTGGAATTCAACTCTCGAAATAATCAAGCGGGTCCAACACAACAAAGACACACTGAAGGCAACGCTGGCACAGCAGAAGCACAATTTAGCCAATTCATGAATTCTTTTATTTCATGAATTGAAATAATTCATGAAAATACAAATAAATACTAAATCTAAACTCCATGATGAATCATGACTAAGCACAACGTATTATTGTGATTAATTCAATTCTTTTTTTAATCAATTGACACCATTAATATTTACAGATTATCTAACAAAGCTGAAAATTTGTAGATTTTGTCACAAACTACTTTTGTGAGCAAGCCTAAGAAAATACTTTTTAACATTCCTCCACCTTTTATTGTTACTCAGAAAATATCACAGTGCATCGTTTAATGTGGTGATAAAGAAAACATGGTAGCACACTGAAAGCTCCACTTCCACATGCTGATATATTTTAGTATGACCAACATAAACAGACACACAAACTCGGTACTCTGGTGGCAGATTTTAATGTGTACAAGGGTACAAAGACAGTTTCTCTAGATTTTGCCTGCAGTCGGTAACACTGGGTTAACCCGTGGTCAAGTTCAGTGATGGTTGGGTCATCATTGCTCCTGTGTGCAGCTCATATGGCGGCAGTAAATTCCTATCCATGGTGAGGCTGAGCAAAAATAAGTTGTGTGCTTCCATACAGTGTGGGATGGGCAGGACCAGCTATGTGCATGTTCAAACACCCAGTGACTATCAGCAGGAATGGCTGGGGGGTAAAGGGCTGTTCTGGGTTTGTGAGAATGTGTGGGTGGGCTTGGCAGTAAACGTGTGTGTGTGTGTGTGTGTTTTGGGCCGGGGGCATGGGGGGTTATAAGGTCACTGGGTTTGACCTTTAACAAAATGCCACGTAGAGCTGGTTGATTGTGTGTTTTTCATACTCTGCACTGAGCTTTGGGTGCAGAAAAGTCCCACCAAATCTTATAATCTACAGTATGATTAAGATAAATGCAAATGTAGCAAGAAACTGCCTTTAGTGAGCCAGAAGGAGAGACGAGAGTGAAAACCATGCTTACACATGCCCCGGCTAGTTTGTTGATGCATTGTTGACACCCACAGGTATTACAACACAGCCCCCCAACAGCCGGAAGCATCACGATCCCCTAACTCCCAGTAGTAATTAGCTTCTAGATGCTTTCATTCCAGAACAGTAGCAGGTCAGAGCACTCAGAATTCCCTGTGACGGATGCAGCATGTTAAGATTGAAGTGTTTAACTAAGTACATGGGTTTGGGCTCCCTTAATGACATAGATTATAAATCATTAGATTGACTGTAAACCAAGCAGAGAAAGTTAGTCATGCATCTACAACTGTTTGCATTTAAGGGGGCCAGCATACCCCAACCACTTGCGTCAGTTTCATAGTAAATGATGTGCTGTGGTTGCCACTCAGATGCTCTAAAATCACAGACTCTACATTTATACAGGTCTGTGCACACTTTGGGAACTCTGAGGTCTCTTTCACCAATAAAGTACAAGTCTGGATATCAAAACCAGTTCTACCAGTCCTACATATATATAGTCCTACAGATACAGCCATAGATACTGTTGACTTTGGTCAGAATTTTGCCATTACTACAGTAAATTAAAGCCATATCAAAAAGTTTATAATTTGCCCAGAGAAAAGCAGTCAGTCTTTTAGATAAACAAACAAATGCCAATGGAAGTTACATGAGCTAATATTGTTATTCTAGTCTTTTTTAACTTTATATCTTTCAGCTCTAAAGCACAGAGTTTGTGAAGAGGTAGTAAAGGCCAAATGTGCACTGCAATGTGTTGTATGTAGTATAGCAGCCCTGTGTACCGTATCTGCCATGTGATGCTACACAGTGGTGCACGGTGCAACACATCTGATGTGCGGTGGCCTTTTGAAGACCTAAATTCTTAGTGTTATGCTTTTAATGTATGTGCTTTAAATTAATGTTGTTAATTACTGTGTTATGCTGCGGAAGCAGTTACTTTTTAAAATCATACAAGCTCATTTGAGTCTAGAGTCTAGAATTACTTAGAATTGTCTTTTTCTACACATTTAATTTTACATTATGTAATCATTTAGGGATAACTATATAATTAATAGTAGATTTTTGTAATGATTTACATTTATTGAATGAATTACAATTTTACCAATGTCAAAAATGACTAAATTCAGATGAAATTGAGATTCAATTGAGATCAAATTTGCATTATAAAATATTTTAATAAACTAAATTGAGTTATTATTGAAATTTTAGAATTCTCACCTTTGAAAGATTTTCACAATTGCTTCATTGAGAATATTAAATTGCAACTTGCTTTTGTGGTAATGAGATGAAACCTCTCCTTAGCTTCATCCATTCGTTTTTGTTAAGTGTGATGCTTCTCTTCGTTGTATGTACCTGAACCACTCAAAAATTGTTCTTCTGTGTGGATTACAGAACACCTTTTGGTTCGGGCTGGGATGCTCCACTCTGTTTCTGCTCCCCAGCATCATCCTGTCTGTGAGACTGGCCAAGTTCTACCGCAGAATGGACACAGAGGACGTCTATGACGAGTGAGTAGCCTCGTGTCAGTGTTAACCCATGGGACAAGGAATTTCAACTGATAGAAACAGTGCAGTGGTACTAAAGAGAGAATCTTCATCTCATCACTATTCTTTGTCTTATTCAGTAAATGGTAGAAAGAGTAACCAGGCTCTTTTTTCTCTTTCTCTTTGTTCTTCCTCTTTTCCCTCTGTTTCCCTCACTATTTCCAGTTCTTCTGTCTCAGGGACTTGGCATTTCACATTATGATAACCGATTCTTGCTATTTCCATCTTTGTCCATTTTTTTTATTTCTCTCAGTCCAGCACTCTGCACTTTAAGAAAACTGTATATATATTGTATATATTAAATGTTTTCTTTTTAGTATTGTTCAGTCATTCACATGCACTTACAGTAATGAAACATTGCTATAGACAACTCACCAAGTGTCTTGACCGGAGACGGTTTTGACATCTTAAGCGATGTCGTTGTACGCAAAGCTCTCTGGTGTATTTTCTTTCACAGTCGGTTTAATGATCTTGCTTGTCTTGTATCTTTTTAGCATTGAGACAATTCCCATGAAAACGTAAGCTGTTTTTATTCCCCATTTTTTCCTCCCGCTCTCCTCTTTTGAGAAACTCATTAATAAGACATCTCTACCTGTTTTGTACAGAAATCTCTCTGCTAAATATTTGGTGCTGGTTTAAGCTTTTAGCCTTGGAATGCTTCTCCGGTGAAGGGTCTTGCTTGTCTTTGTGTGTTGTCTTCTTAAAAAAAAAGCTCCCTTGTTTAACATAAAGGGCTGTTGAAATCATCACCTTATAAAAAAACATCAATTTCACAATTTCTGTATATTTTACATTGTTACATTTTGTGAGAAACTATGACGATTTGTACTTAAACTTATTTTATACTCACGTGAACATGCTGACGTTTGAGACTAAGCCCAACCCCAGTTGCCCAATCGCATGTCATTTGTCTCACGCCATATTTTGTTCATGATTTGTTTGTATTTAATGTTTTGTTTCAGTATGGAAATTGGTAATAATGGTTATTATAATGAACGTTTACGAGGTATCCAAAACCCTGTAATGACAAGGTAAAAAGAACCAAACCCCCTTGCACTGAGTGGATGGAATCTTAATGACTTGCATGCAAGGTTTGGGGTGGTGGGTCCAAAGAAAGTTTAATGAGATGTTCAAACCCAATCCCAAAACAGTTGGGACAGTAGGTAAAATGCAGATAAAAACAGAAAGCAGTCATTTATACATCTACTTTGATATGTATTTGAACAAAAGCAGCAGAAAGACAAGTTCAACTTTGTTGTTTCTTGTAAATATACACTCTTTCTGAAATAGATGCTCTAAAAAAGTTGGAGCAGGAGAAATTTCAGACTAGAAACATTGTGAAATGTACAAAAAAAACATCTTAAACTGGTGATGCATTGTTTGGATATAGTAGGAACATCCAGGAAAGGCCATGTCCTTTAGGGGCAGGGATGTGTCCAGGCCCGCCACTTTGCCAAAAACGCATCAGGAGAAAATCCAACATTAAGAATAATGTTTTTATTTCACCCTCTGTAGTACATAATAATATCAAAAGATTTAGGAAATCTTGAAAAATCTCTGTGCGTAAAGTAAAAGGCCGAAAACTACAAATGCCCATGACTTTCAACCCCACTGCATTAACCCCCTTAAATGGCCAGGGCCCACCGGCCTGCCCAAAGTTTTATTACACACTTCTGTAACCTAAGAATAGCTCAGCCAGTTTGTACTGAAGTCCCTGTAGTTTCTGAATAACAAGCCTAAGTATGTAATAAGCCTGTGATTTTAAGGGGTTAAAAAACATCATACTGCTGTGATGGATATCACTGCATAGCCTCGACTTCCTTGGGCTCGAGCTCATCTGAAATGGACTGATGCACAGCAGAAAAGTGTTCTGTAGCCTGATGAGTCAACCTTTCAGATTATTTATGGAAATAATGGACATTATGTTCTCTGGGCCAAAGAAGAAAAGGACCAGATTTTTACTGGCATCAATTTTAAAAACCAGTGTCTGTTATGGTATGGGGGGGGTATTAGTGGGTAAATCTGTGAATGCACCATTAATTTTTTGGGGCAACATATGCTGCGTTCCAGACGTCTTTTGTCAGGAACATCCATGCTTATTTCAGCATGACAACACCAGGTCACTTTCTGCTGGTGTTAGAACAGCATGACTGTGTAATCAGAATTCAGGTGCTAGACTGGCCTGTCTGACTCCTGTTGAAAACGGGTGTCTTATTAAGCCCTAAATATGACAACAAAGGCCCTGTATGGATGTACAGCTGTACTTATACAAATACTTGTATAAAAGAAGAATGGCAAAATAATTATGCTGTCAAAACTAGATCGGTTTGTATCTTCAATCCATAAACAATTAATTAATTAATAACAATTAATAAGTATTTTTGAAAGGAAAGGTGTAACACAGTGGTAAACATGCTCTTGTCCCAATTTTTTGGAATATGCTGCAGGCATTAAATTCAGAATGAGCATATGTTTCCTAAAAACAATATTGTTTATATATAAGATAATACATAAAATATTGTTTTTGTTAAGCAGAATTTACTAATGACTGCTTTCTGTAATTTGTTTAGCATTTCACATTCCATCCCAACTGTTTCGGAATTGGGTTTGTAGGAGGCGCAGTGCATGCGGGTGAAAAATTGCCCTTTCCTTGAACAAGCGTGGGAGTCACCCACGTTGCTGTTTTCGGTTCTCGTCTCTTACTCAGTGTTAGCGTGATGGCTAGCTCAACAGCAGTGATGGCGGCTGTGATGCCTGTACACACTGGGGCTGAATGCGTGTGACCTCATACTAACACTGCATGCTCCAGAAAGTATGACCACAACGTATTGCAACCATAAACACTCACTGGTTGATTTTTGCTCTGTTTTTTGCATTGCATGTTTTCTTGCATGTGACTCTGACAAGGCTAAATCTACCGTTATTGGCGTTTTTTTTGACTGCCCGTTCTTTGTCACTAACTGCATGCCTGTCCGAGTCATCTTTGTTCAGGACATCCTGAGATATGGTTGTGCAATTCAGGGCAGGACGCAGTGCCAGACTGGCACACAGAGTGCATAGAAAGTCCCACAATGGTCAATATGAAAGAGACTTTCAGCAGTAGAAAGGTCAGCATGTTAAAGGGCTCATATTCTGCATTTTTGACATTTGATTGTTTTCCTTGAGGTCATAATTCATTTTTACAATGACCATTTTCAAACCTCTGTTAATCCCTTAGACTTACACAGGCTGATTTTGTAACTGTTCCTTTAAGACTGATATATGTGAATATAACAGAGCTGATTGGTCGCACTGTATTGTGCCTCATTGAGAAAGCAGTTCTGACTGAAACACTCCTTATAACTTTGGTGTGAATGGGTGGAGCTAAACTACTGTAGACTGAATAGGTGGATTTATGACATCATAAAAACAATTCAAAATGAGCTGTTTTTGCAGCTTAGATTGCATTTGTATGGTCTAAATAAAATATATGTTTTTAAACGCTGGCAGTGTTAAAAACTACATCAGACTCTTTATTAAAAAAAAAGTGAGGTAAATTTGCTTTTCCATGATGTGGGCCCTTTAACGCAATTCTAGCCATATGAAACATTCACATTATTTATCGTTTATCATTTATTTGTCAAATATATTTGATGGCAACAATCTACTGTTAAAACCCAACGTTCTGTAATATCTTCATTTAATATGTAAAGTATTAATATCTATTTTATTTTGCGAGCTGAATGAGGAGCATTAGAATATTAATTAATCTATGTGCTTTTAAAGGGCCAAAATCAAAAATGTCATGCACTTTGAAAACTCTTGAACACTGGTGGTTCCGAAACACACTTTGCAATTCTTTACTTCAGAATTTTCATATTTCATAAGCTACATTCAAAAGGTGGGTGTCATATGAAAGCTGTAACTCTCTTCTTTCCAGTCAAATAGATATGTTCTGCACATTGTTAAGATAGCTAATGAAAAATTGGCTTTAAATTGCCATAGTTGCCATAACTATAGACTGCAAAATATATGAATTACAATTCGGAATATTCATATCGTAGACAAAATTGAACTTAAACCAATGTGTACAAATCATACATCAAATGAAAAGGGCTGATTTTCAGGATTATGAACATACATATCATTATTCTGTAAGATGACCCAATTTAGACTTCAGAAAATATATCGCACTCATAATCATTGATTTTGAATTGAAAAATACATTTTTTTCCCTTATTTCCTTCATTACATATCTTAGACTTATAAACTTGACTTTTTTGAATTCCTGGGATCCTTCTGAAACTAATGACCCCTGATTTGTCTATCTACGACCTTCCTATCATAAATAATCCACTTATTTATTTGAATAGGTCATGACCTGTAAGAACGGGTCTCTTATTTCAAAACATAATGGAAAAAAAAACGATGATGCATTGACCCTGACCTACTCAAGCATCATTAACATATCATTCACTCTCCAGTTCATACAGTCTATCAAAAAAATAAACAGCTCATTTTGAATATATCATGCTTGTGATGTCACTAGGGCACTTGTCACAAGGGCTAATCAGAACACTCATCATGTACATAGATTAGTCTTAAAGGCACCATAAAAGAGCCTGTTTAATTTGAATGGATAAAGACATGTTGGCCATGTAAAAATAAAGTATGACCAATTTTGTTAGCAAAACTCACATAAATATTATGAGTGCAAATAGAATACAAGAAAATATGGGTCAAATCAGCACACAGTTTGACTCAATTCAAGATACTGGGTTCACGATTCAATATGCTCACAATATTTTGAACAAAATTCGAATGAATAAAAGTCAATGTATTCATGCTGTTGCAAGGCTTATTAATGCGTATATGGGTTGTCTGATTGACGCTGGTTGTTTATGAACTTGTGCTCAAACAATGCATTTGCATTTTATGCCAAATTTAGTACAATGTCCATTCTCCACAGTGCATTATCACATCTCCATGATGCACATTTTTACATTACAATATCGCAATGTCATGATACATTTTTACAGCCATACAAAAAATGTAAAATATGAGCCCTTTAAAGTCAGAACACATATTTTTAGTGACATTTGAGCCCCCACTGGAGTGCTCTGTGTGGCATGGGAAAGCTTGCGTCCTGCTCTTCTCGCACATTGGAGGGGTGTGAGAGTGAGAGGGGTCCTTTAGAGAAAGAGGTGGGTGGGGGGATGTTGAATACACGCTGACCGAGCGCTGACCATCTCTTCCTTTGTGCCCAAAGCATCCCTGCCTATGACACTATGACTCGATTCCCACGGGCCTCTGCGCCCCCTCGCCATGCCGACTGGTGACATGAAGGAGGAGCTTTTGTTTTTTTCCCAAAACTCCAGAAAGGTACTGATGGTCACTGGATGAAAGGAGATGGCCACTGTTATTCCACCTTTGCCAGCTGGCATAACCTCACAAATTAACTACTTTCACTGTTGCATGATCTGTATAAATAACCACTGATAGCACTATGTTTTCTGCTTGATTGCTTGTCAACTTATGCTTAGTTTTCCACTGCCATCGAATTCTTATCTCTCTCTGAAAAAAGTGATGCATTGAATTAATTTGATTCAAATGTGCACATCATTTCTACTTAAAGGAGAATTGCACCAATTTTTTAAAGATTTCTGCGAAGTTCGATCACTGAGTTGTAAATGAATGAGATTTCTTAACAATGGTGTTGATGGGAACCAGGGGTCTCATTGTCTACAATGTAAACATAGCCATTTTATTTTACTATCCAAAGTCACCAGTGAATCTACATATGTCTTTCTGTATCTAATGTTGATAATGTTGGTGAAATAGTAGTAAACCTAAAAATAATAAGTTTTTATTTGAGGACTATTTTGCCAAAACCTTGCATGTACCTGACTGGATTTTTAAAAATACATTTTAGACCAAAACTTTAAAAAAACAATGTTTCAGGCATCAGGCAGCATATTCATAACAATTTAATCTTTCTGTGAGGGAACTTTTAAAGGGATTAAACTCTTTGGATGTCTGGTTCCTATAACCACCACTGTGAACAACTTTGACTCAGTAAGATTCTCTAGAAGTGAGCATTTCACATCAAACCACTCTAAATAACCTTGCTAACATACTATTTCATCATGAAGACATTTAGAAAAATGTTGAAATTCCTATTTAAATAATATATGTATATGACGGCCTGACAATGTAGTCTTTCAGTTTAACTGCTCTTGACAATCATGTTGTTTAACGCCTTTTATTTATGTGGATATGTGAATATTTGAATCAACAAAGTTCAATGCATTACATTTTTTCAGTGCTGTCTGGTGCCATGTTTATCAGCAGCCTTTCCATATTTTAGAATTGTGTGTCTTCAAGACTTTGTGCTCTGTGAAGGTCTGTATTGTGTGAATTACTGACCAGTTGGTCATTGCTTGCCAATGTTTGACAAACATGTTTAACAACTCTGCAAACAGACATTACCACTAAGCTTCATGTTTGTTTTGTTGCTCTGCCTTTTCAAACCACCTCTTATTCTTTTGTCTCATTGACACTTTGGTTGGCCTTTTAATGCACTTCCTTGAAGTCATTCATCTTTTTTCCTGTTTTTCTAGCTCTATTGGGACATGGAACTGAAACTAACTGGACTGTAAGTCTCTTTTGACTCATTTTTGAATATAGGATGTACTGATGAAAAAGTGATACATCATTTCCAGAAGAGTCAAATACTCTTCATTTATTTAATTTCCAGTCAAAATGTCCATTAAGTACAAGTTATTCATTTAGTTATTTCATTGTATATAAGATAATCTACTTGCATAAGGAAGAGGACAGTGAAAAGAAAAAAATAGCAGTGTCCAAAACTGGAGATCAACAAAAGATTAGAAGCTATAGAGAAAATGGACTTCCTTAACAAGCACCTGCAAGGCCTGGTAGACCACCAAAACTGTCCCCTTCAGATATACAGCACTTAAAGTTTTCATTTTTGAGAGAGAGGAGAAAATCAAGCTTCACTCTTGTTTCAGATCTGAAAAAATCCACAGGTATTTCTGTCCAGGCTTCCACTGTTAGAAGACAATGCAATGATATTGGTCTGAAAGGACAAGCAGATGTCAAGAAGCCTCATTGAGAAAAGGAAACCATAAAGAACATTTGCACCTTCAAACAAAGAAGCTGCTGATGTTCTCAGAACAATGGACTGACCACCCCAGAGTCCAGACCTCAACATCACTTAATGTGTCTGGGGTATTTTGGATGGTGAGAAGCAGAAAACGCAACCAACTTCTAAGACTGAACTTCGAAGATGTGGAAAAATATCTCTGCAGAATTTTTTGAAAAACTAGAAACAAGCCTCCTAAAAAGAATGGAAGGTTTAAAAAGGTCAAAGAGTGGACACAATGAAAAAAATATAGATTTGGTTTTGAGGCTTTTGTTTCCTGATACTAACAAAGGCCATTCTGACTGGAAATTTAATAAATGAATACATGGCCAGTTGCTGACTTTTGCACTATACTATATATTGCATCAATATACTTTTGTCTTTCGGTTTACTTGTTTATGGCAGTAGTTTATTAAAATGTAAATTGTTACTTTTTCAGCATACTTTCCAGTCTTGATTCATTCAAGCCTTCACTCTTATGATGCATTACTCTCTGCTATATTCTTTTTTATTTCAGACTATTGCCCACCTGATGAACAGCTGGCCCAGTTTAAAGGGGGGTGCCATCAGAAGAGGACACTTAGCTACAGGGCCAAGAAATGGAGTCCATCTTCATGTTATACTATATATTCTCCTATGATGAAACTATGACACTTTTTCAGCTCCTTGTCTACGATGACCCTGCCTCATGGACGTTTTCCTTTGACGCCTTTTCACTTTTTCACATCATGTGAAGAGATTGCTGCATTGTTACAGCACTGTTATATCAGTCATGGAGTCAGGGAGGCCTCAACGTTTAGCTACTGTATGTATGTGTCTTTGTTTACAGTCACTGAAAGGTCACTTTTGGCAGACATAACAATGTTTCAACTGCTGCATTACTCTAAAAACAGTTTCTTTTTTCTCCTCACTATTGTTTTTTATTTAGTCTGCTTTTTTATGTTTGTGGAGAATACACTGTCTGGAGTTCAAATCTGTCAGTATACGAACCTCTTGAACTTCGTTTGGGGCCTGTCTGAGAGACTGGAGGATTTTTATCCATGTGTAAGGCGAAGTAAACCTATCTGACGACCACACTCTTGAATAGAGTGACAATGCCATCTAAGGCCAATGGCCTATGAGCCACCAACATTATATGCAACATATGTATGAATATACGCTCCAAGTGCTTGCAAATGCGCTAGTACTACAATAATGCAATGTGGGATTGTTGTCAAGCCATTCTGAGGCTGAATGAATTGTTGCCTTTTCATTTTTTTCTTTAGTCCATGGTACCTGTGCACAGTGAAAGAGGGCAACTGTAAATGCAAGCCTGTGTTCATCCTACATAAAAATTTCGCAAAGACCTGGATAACAATGGGAGAAAATTTGGTAGCACTTTACACAGGGGGAATAAGTCGGTAATACTATGGTAACAAGTTGTACTAACCTATAAATTATATGCTAATTTTCAGGGTGTTATTAAAGAAAAAGTTAGCAAATGTAACACTAACAGGTTGGTAATAAAATGGAAAAATAATGGTAACAAGTTATACTAACCTAAAAATTGCATCATTTTGTAGTTGTTAATAAATAATTAGTAATTGTCATGGTTACTAGTTGGTAATGAAATGGAAAATAATGGTAACTGAACTTTATTTTTTTTACTTTTTTATATTTTACATTATTACCCATTTATTACCGATCTGTAAAGTCAAGTGCTACCAGAAAATTCTTCAGTGGGTGTCAGATCATTGTTGTGTGTCTTGAAATGTTCAAGATATGATTTTAACTTGTAGCAGTAACATCTCTAACTGTTTGGGCAAATAAGAATGTGGCAGTTGTGATGTAATTTAGTTTACATTAATTAATAGCCAGGGTTTTTTTACACTGCCCTTCTTATGATACTAACCAGGAGAGCTCATCACAGTAGGCATAGTCTTACAACGCTCCAAGAAAAATTGCTTTTGACACCAAAATCTATTTTTAATGTAGATCTCAGGTCTTAGTGGGTTTTTTTGGGGTTGTTTTTTGTTTTTTGCTGATTACAAATATTGGTAGACAGTTTTGGGGTATTTACAATTACTTTCACTGACAAGCTATCAAAAGGGTGAATGTAATATATCTCAAAAAAGTTTGTATGTTTTTGGATAAGTGAGAACCCAGGAGCAAATTTACAAAATGCATTTTGTCTTGACACTTTACTTGAAGATTATAACAATGCCTACTTAATACTGTCATAGTCTATCATCACCAGTTACATCACCAAATATCTCTAGTTCATCACTAGGACTTTGATAATATTTCTGTCTGTTGTTAATAATCATGTCAGGTGCTAGATGTTTTTTATCATAACGGTTAAATCACTTGACGAGTATATGGCAGTGTTACGCAGGCCTCAGATAAAGTGTTCTACCTGATTTTTACTCATCTTCATTTCAGTTCCCCAAGGCACCTTAGTTCCATTCTGCTGTTGGCTGTGGTCTTGATTTATCATGCACTGTTCTTCCCCACCAGCTTAAGTGATAGTATGCCTGGTGGTGTGTTATGCTTGCTCAAAGACGTTCCGCTGATGTTTCGTGGCATTTAGCAGTCGTGGGGGCTGGTTGTCAGCGCGGCTGGTTTTCAAGTCCAAGTGGTTAGGCTGGCTATACTGTAAAATATTGTGAATAAAATTTCAAACTGAATTAACATCTTCAGTGTCTGTGTTCCTGTTTATTTCTGTTTAAACTCTGTCATTCGGGTGACATGATGCAAGTGCCAAGTTCCTTAGTCATCCATCACTCAAGTCTGAGAGTACCTGAGCAGGTATGCATATTTTATTATAATTTCTTCCTTTAAGTGAGCCTAAAATTTATGGCATAATAAATGGCATGATACCACTTTATTTTACCGATACTGATATTGATATTAAAATCCTGTGTATCGGCTGATATGATCCAATGTTCTTTCTTTTAAAACTACTAAGCTTTAAAATAAGCCGTAATTGAAGCATGAAAATATTAGAGACTGATATGCCACCTTTAACACTGTTATATCCCCTTAAACATAAATGTGATGGAAGTTATTTACAATGGCTAAGAAGCATTTTTCATTGCTTCTTTTTTCAAAACTCTTTACACTCCTCTTGGCAGAAATCTGCGGCTCAGCACTTAATTTCATACCCTAAATACTCTACATCTACCAAAACACTCAAAACACTCTCAACACTTGTGTTCTTACCAGAGGAATACTTTATCAATCACAGCACAGTCACCTAAGATACGTGATTAACTGGATCCACTATTTTATGTAAATCTATGAAGTACTAAAGAACTATTTGCTCTGTAGTTGTGTTTCACACTGTAATTAGTTTATTATTCTGTCAGCTCATGTAAAAAACAGTAGAACATGGATGAGTGCAGAAGTGTTTTTGAAGTTTGAACTATGTAAAATGTTTTATCTAAAGCAAATTTAGTTTTGCATTGTTTCATGGAAAGTATTTATTTCAGTTGATTAAAACCAGTTAAATTGCTTGTTACCACATTCTTTATAAAATTTACAATGCATTAAAATGTATTTTTTACAGTAAACAAAACAGAAAATTATATGTTTCTTGTACAGGAAGAAATGAAGTAATAAAAACTAAAATCTAGCAAAGAAAATAATGTAAGTCACAGATACTGTAGACACTTCCTCTGCCTGATCTCCATCATTTGGCCATGTTCTCATGGCATCCTAATATCCTCTCCTGCTTACAAATGTACAAATAAGCTTGTTTATTATGTGACGAGGCCTATGGTCTGTCCACCGTGAACATAACTCCTGCAGTGACCCCTTTTTATAGACGGTCACCCTCAGATTGGAATCGGACCTGTTTGCATACGTTTAGTCACCGATTTGTCTGTATGACTGCTATCACTTTTTTTGGCTTTTGTTGTTTGATATAGTATTTGTGATTTATGACATTTGGTTTATTTTCAAGTGAGAAGTGAATTAATGAATGGTGGGCACTGAATTCACACTGTATTCAGGCAAAGAAAAACGCTTCATGGTTTGGTCCAAGTTGTCGACACGTTTTATGGTTTTATGTTTTATACCAGCCAGATTAAACCATTTAAATCATTAAATCATTTAAAATATTTAGCAAAATTTAAATTGGGCTAATTGAACTGTTCATGTTTATGTATACATATCTCTCACACACACACACACACACACACATCATCTAAACCGCTTATCCAGATGGGTCACAGTGGGGTGCTGGAGCCTATCCCAGCTGTGATTGGGCGGAAGGCAGGATACACCCTGGACAGGTCGCCAGTCCATCGCAGGTGTATACATATCAGATTAAATATAATAGTCATTTAAAATTGGTAGAGTTTATTTTAGACTCAAATTAGGCTCCATTTGCAGCATATTTGATTTGCTTGATTATGAACTGTTGCAGCTTCTTTGACTTTGACTTGAGATGAGTACAGCCTACTTTTGACTTTATTATATGCAGCAAAGAATTAATAACAATGTCGAAATTAATTAAAGTTGGACTCTTTCAGTGTTAGCGTTGGACTCCGCCAGGGTTGTGCCCTGTCTCCACTCCTGTTTGTGATAATCACGGACGGGGTGTCAAGGCGTAGCCGTGGTCAGGAGGGCATTATGTGTGGAGGCCGGAGGATGGCGTCTCTGCTATTTGCAGACGATGTTGTTCTTTTGGCTGGATTACATGGATGCCTCCAGCACGCACTGGACCAGTTTGCAGCTGAGTGTGGGGGTGTACCAGGCATGGCCTACCGGGACAAGACCCCGGGGTCGTCCTAGGACGCGCTGGAGGGATTATATCTCCAGGTTGGCCTGGGAGTGGCTTGGGGTCCCCGGGAATGAGCTGGAGGAAGTTGCGGGGGACAGGGTCATCTGGGATTCTCTGTTCTCCCAACTGCTACCGCGACCCTAGCTGGACTAAACGGTTAACGACGACGATGATGATGATGTTTTTGCTACTTTGAGGGTGAGGATTCATCCTCCCTTGCCTTTTCTTGTGCTAAACAATGAGTCCCCAATTTTTCTCAACACAAAAAGTTTAGCCAGCACCACAGCAGCCAATGATTCTTCCTCTTTCTATGTCTTCCAACCAGCGCTATAGCACCACCAAATTCAAGCTGCCACTTCAACGTAAAACTGTGAAAGGCACTCTCAAGAGTCAGTAGAGTCTGGGCTACTGTAGAAACATGGTGGCTCAACATGACGGCCTCTGATGCAAGAGGACCCGCTCTCTATGTAGATATGAAGGCCTCATTCTAAGCTAACAGAAACACAATGATTCATAGTTATAGGTGATTATACAGTCATGAAAACATGCTTTTGTATACTATATTCCATTTCTGCTAATTGATCCCCCTAAATCTTACACACTGCACCTTGACATATGCTTAATCTATTCAGTTCTCAGCTTTAAATTGCTAACAGAGATGCTTGGCTCCCTGGCTTGATCTAGGGCCAAAGGTAAAAAGGCTTTCAGTGGCTGCAGTGAAGCAGAACTATTGCGGATGTTTACATTTTGGGTCCCCTTCTTCCAGAAGGGCCTGATTGCTTCAAAATGAGAGTTAAGTGCCAATATCCTCCCTCAGTGGACCCTGACCCTAGCCCTACACACCCACCCCAGTTCCACATCACAATCAGCTTTTATATCAGTGCCCATAGTTTGCATTTGAATGGATTTAATTAGTTTGAATGTTGTTTGAATGTTAACGTTCTTCTTGCGAAGCAATAAAACACTCTGATGAATGTTCTGCATTCCAGCTTGCACATGTCTTGAACACTGTATATGTTGTTAAGCGTCATGTTTTTGATGGTTGGGCCTTATAAAAATGGGACCACCGCTTCCTGTCCATTGTCAACAACTTATTTTTAAAATATGGTCCTTGTAAAAAAAATTCCATTCATAAGAATGCACAAAGAGAAGAACGCACATATATAGCTGTGGTGTTCTCCCGCCAGTTGCATAAAGCACCATGTGCGTTCTGGGTTTGGGTGTGTGCCCTCAATGTTTAGCCATATGTGTTGCTCTCAGTTGGTTTCATATGTGCCTCCTTCTCATTGACAGTCCCCAGATGACCATGCCAGCAGGCTAAGGGGGCTGAGCTCCCCCTCTCTCCAGGCCAGAAGATGTTTCTTTGCCCTTATTGTAACTTAAATGCCCTCTTTGTGAGCAGTGGACATAAATAGCAGTGGACGTCTTGCTGCTTCTCAGTCTCAGCCTTCAAAACTCCAGCTTTCAACATGCACAGTCTGGCCAGTGCACTCCTGCTGTCCTGCTGCTTCTGGTCATCCCTTGCCCAGAGCCATGATGGAGAAGAGCAGAGAAGAAGTGTTTGGGATGACCCCATTCAGTTTTCCACCAAAGCCAAGGATCAATGCTCTATGATGGTAACAGGACAGGGTGAGCTGACCAAACTGCGCATCTCCTGCCAATCCCAGGACAGGTCCTACTGGTGCGAGTACCAGGGCAGGCCGCACGTTTGCCGTCCCTACAACAACAACCCACGTCACTTCTTCACACAGATCATGTGGGACCTGCGCAAGTTGAGAAACGCCTGCCAAGGAAAGAGCGCATTCAAACCTTTCATGTGCAAAAGAGCCTCTGACGAGGCCCAAATGGTCTTCGCTACCTCCTCCTCATCCTACGATGCACCAGTCCAGCCAGGCTGGACTAGACCAGACACTACAGAATCTCCAACCACCAGGGAAGAGATCAAGCCAAGGCAGGCCAGGCCTGACTATCCAAAATCCGATCAAGTCAGGCCAGAACAAGTTAGGCCAAATGGGGCAAAGCAAAGAATGAAATCATCAAAATCCCCTTCTAGGTCTCAAGCAGTGAAGACAGATCAAGCCAGAGCAGAACAGGGTAGAGGAGCTTCAGGAACCAAATCAGCAAGACCAATGACGGTACTGAAACCGAAGATGACTACACCAGCAACAACAGCACCACCACCAACCACTCCAGTTCCCTTGAGCACAGCTAAGAGGCTGGCGAAGCAGCGCTGCTGGCCTTCCTTACAGGGCGTCTGTGCCTTTGTCATTGGCTGGTTTACATACTGAGGAAAGGTATGCTAAGTGAATCATTATTGCAGTTTTATTAAGTATTTAACACCTTGATGAATGTTCTAAATTACAGATTGAATTACATTTATATAAGCTATTATGAAATTAGTTGCACATAACTTCCAGCACAGATAAAACAAAGGAGGAATGCATATACAGTTTTATGCAAAAGTTGGAATGCATATACAGTTGTATGCAAAAGTTTGAATGCCTTTATTCAAGTTATGTTTTGTTGTTTTTGTAAGTGAAAATAAGTTAACATATTATCTACAAGGAACTTAAATATGCAAATTTTAATGCACAATAAAAATAGATGTTTTTTAAATTGCCTTAACTTGTTTTTACAACAAGTTAACACAATTTTTTTTAAAAATCCAAAAAAGGTGACTTTATGTGACTTTACATTGTAGGAAACGTGCTGGAAATGTGCATGCACTGTCCAGGCTAATCATTTTTTTTCTTAGCAAATTTTCCCCTACTTTTTTTGATGCTATTTATAATTTACAATTTTCAAATGAATGCAAAATTGTTTTTCTTCTATTGTTTTTATTTGTGTGTTATTTTACTACTTGTGTTGCAAAACGTCCTTGATTCTGTGAAAGATGCTCTATAAATAAACTTTTTATTTTTATTATATCGTTTCTTGTTTACTTTTTCACAGATCAATCCTCCTGATAAAAGAGGCCTCGAAAATACTGGAAGCCTGGAGTGGTTCTGTGCAACAAGCTGAAGATTTTTGAATGGGAGAATGAGAGAAATCCCAACAGGCTTGTAGTGAAAATCATCCTCTACAGCATATTGTCATATACAGTTGTCAGTTGTACAGGATTTGAAGGAGTGAATGGCCTGAGCTGAGCATGATTAACCATGTAACTCGGTCTACCTTTGGACCACTGTGTGAGGCCACCAAATTTACTCTTCAGGTGTGTAGAGTTGAAACAGGAGCTTCATGTATCTTCTTTATCCTCTAAGATTCATGTGTACTGAACAGTATATGGGCATTGTTATGGAGACTTTTAAAATCTGATTTTATGTATGTACAGTGGGAATTAGGGGACTTCTGGACAGGTAACAATCCAAATTTTGATTTGCGATGTACTTTAACTACATCAGTAAGTACTCAGCTGTCTCAGTAACTGTCTTATGTAGTGGTCAGTCAGTGTATGAATCTCTGTATATATAATGAATAAATGTTGATTCTTTATATCTTTGCCTCTGGTTTGGGACGTACAGCAGGGGGAGCTGGTGTGTTAGTGTGTTAGACAGAGAGCGAGAGAGAGAGAGAGAGAGACATAACAGCTACATTTGAACAAACCTGCCAGCTGTCAGACTCCAGTGGTGGGAACTGAAGCAGAATTATATCTGCTGAAGTAAAAGTGTGAGTAACACTAATTGTCTAAGCCCTAGAGAGAGTTTAGTAGTCGTCATTAGTCCAGATACAGACTTCACATACTGTCATGTGTAAACGTTTGTGCATCCCTGGTGAAATTCCATGTTTTGTTGGTTTTCTAAGTAAAAATAAGTGAACACATCCTTTACATTTTAATGCACAATTATTGTTTATTTGCTGAACTAAACATAGAGAAAAAAGTGATAAAATACAGCCTGTGCAAAAGGTATATATATTCATATTTATATTTTATGTTTTTTAGATGTTAAACTCAGTCAACAAACAAAAATTGTACACTTAAATTAACTAATTACACACTTCTTTTCACTTAGAAACATGTCATTTGACCATTGATCTGGTATCTATCATTTTCAAAGTGTAACACAACCTAGTGACACTGAAATACAGTAAAAGAAACTAAAGCACCCAGTAAAGTGTCCATAGTCATGCAAATTTGTGTTGATAGTTTCCGTCACTGCAGACAAGCCATTTCAGGTTTCTCGCCCACGAAGATAACATTCCTGTAAGAGATTATCCAACTTTTTAGTGTAGGAGGGTAGGTAGGTGTGTGGGTAGGTATGTATTTAGCACTTACTGGGGACCAAATCCTCCCAATATGATAAATGATGATTGGAAAATGTGATCTTTTTATGACACTGTGGGGACATTCACATTAAATGGCATCATTTATTTAAATATACTTTAGCACCGAGTTTGTGGGCGTAGCACAGCATCATTTTGCTGCATTAAGAGCAATAACAAAGGAAATACCCCACAAAGATGGGAATACAAACTTGTGTGTGAGTGTACGTGTTGGGGGGGGGGTGTGAGTCAGACGGCTCAAATAAAGGTGTGTGCCCGGAAGGAGGCCTATAAAGACCATGCACGAGGACCTCAGGTGTCAGCCTGCATTCCAGCTCCATGCTGCAGGCTAGGCATGCTTGCTTAGGGCTGCTTAACCAAGTCACATTTCAGCTGGATTTCAACTGTGAAAGGAGCTACTCCACCACTCTGGTTTTTCTGTTTGGTCGGGTGAAAAGCTGACTGTATCTTCGCAGGGTTTCAGCTTTTCTCTGCAGCCTTTCTGAAACCATTCCTAAGGAATGCTGTGCTTAAAGGCCACATTTGTGGTGCTCATCTTGGCCTGCGTGGCGCAACACATTCTGCAGGCAGAGGGAAGAAAGGGACAGCAGGAGAGGAAGGGACGAGGGCGAGCGCAGCAGGACGCTTTCTCTCCAAAGCCGACCTCACCCAGCCACCATGAAAATGAGAAGAGGTCCAGTGGAAAGGCTGCATCCAAAGGCCGGTTTTCCACCAAAGACAAGATGCAGTGCGGCTGGGAAGCCACAGGAGACGATGCACTTGTCCTTAGCATCAGCTGCACCAAGGGAAATGAGAGCTTCCGCTGTGAGTACACTGCAAATCCAAGACTGTGTCCTCAGTATGAGTCCAGCTCCACAAAGTTCTGGAAGCAGATCGGTCGCTCCTTGAAGAAGCAGAAGAAACTGTGCCGTGACCCCAAGGCACTGGTCAAAGCAGCCGTGTGCAAAAATGCGAGCAGGGAGGCGCATTTCAGCCTCAGGACCCCTGCCAAGGCCCAGCATCCAACCCAGCCCAGCAACAAGGACTGCAACGGACTTTCTGATTCAAGCAAGCTTGCTAAGGAGTACTGCAGTAGCTCTTGGTCTTCAGTCTGTACTTTTTTCTTTACCATGGTTCAGAATGAGGATTGTTGAGTGTGACCTTTGGAACTTTTTGACCTAATTTCCTCAGCAAATAACAACGTAATGTACTTAACATTACAATATTACATTATAATATATAATATATTCTGTTTATATTTTGAAATATACCAGGAACAATTTATATCATCCCTGTAGAGGAACTACCTCGTCCATCTTGTCAAAATCTAACAAAATATATTTTACTATTTTGTTAAATGTTTGTGTTAGATGTAAGTGCTTGGCCGCTAACATTCCTGTTGTATGTATGTATGTTAGCGAAAGTCCCATTCTTTTAGGACATTTAGTTGCTCTTCTGCAAGGGAACTTAGTTTTATGTTCTGTTGATATTGATCAAAAGTAATGCAACGTATATATAAAATTTAAGTTGTTTTTTCTGTACGTCTCACCTCATCTGTAATACATCTGATAGATTGACACTACCTGAAATAAATTCCTTGCTACATTTCTTAGATTTTCTGCCATTCTTTGCGCATAAAAAAGCAATAGCCTTTAGGATATACATTTTTAGATTTGAATAAGCAAATGCTGTCTTTGGATGGTAATATTAAATTGATAATATTGTAGTCTATGACACACTCCTGGCTGTATAAAGAGCATATGCACAATCACAGCTAAAACATGAATTTCGCTGTTGTTGGAAGAAAACCTTGTATCTCCATTTTTGATGTTTTTCAGTTTTTGACATAATTTGAAAATACTTGTTACCCTTTTCAATTTCATGATGAATGGACTAAAAGAAAGGCCCTAAAATTACTTGGAAAAACATCTGGTTCCGTTGACTTACATTAAAACTAAAGTGGGTGTTTTCCTTCTCCTGTAAAGTTACCATTCTGGAAATACAAGGTTTTCTTCTGATAATAGCGATATACTAGCCATAGATCTGTTAACCGTTTATAGAGGTAAGAGATTTCTAACAGATTAAAATATGTCAGGTCTCATGGTGTAGTCTTACATGATCAATGTTTCAGTAAACACCAAATCAGAGAATTTTCTCTTTCTTATGTTTTAACCCTTGTGTGGTGTTGGGGTCTGTGGGCCCCTTTTTCATGAAAAATGAAAAATTTTCTGTGAAGAACATATAAAATAACCCATTTTCAGTGCCTTCACACCGTTCACCCCCCCCCACACATTTATATTACACTGGTATTATTGTGGTGTTGGGGTGAACCTGTGAAAGTGTGGAGGTGCTGTGTCCTTCACTCTGTTCTCCTCCTACATGGCTGCTGTTTGTGTGTGTGTGTCTGTGTGGGTATGTGTTTGTATATGTGTGTGTGTGTGTGTGTGTGAGGGTGGACAACATGGACAGGCTGCTTACTGGCTACAGCTGCTAAAGAAGAACACTATGCTGGACACGTGATATTTTACACTTCAGGTATTTTCACATAAATTGTTGTGGCTGTATTGATTAAAGAAATAATAATGTGGGTCCATCAGACTACTGACATGAAAAACAACTCAAGGGTTAAACAATATAGACCTATTCTGTTTTTAATGAACTAGTTGTGACCATTCAAAATGTCTTGCCAGCCTTTTAAAGCTTTGGACACAGAAACACTCAGCTTGAAATGATTAAAACTGATGAAGACTCCTATCTTTATATGCCATCATGCTTTTTGATTGGTATCGATTGTACAATTTACTTCTTTCTTGGCTTTCCATTGATACCATGCAACCATATATGTCCAAAAGTTTGTAGACAGCAGTTTCTTCTAAAATCAGTGCAATTGAGAGTTTGCTGCAGTAACGGCCTTTACTTTTCTGAGAGAGCTTTACACTACATGTTGGAACTGTGTTGTGAGGATTTGATTGCATTCAGCCGCAAGAGCATTAGTAAGGTCAGGTACTGATGATGGATGATTAGTTCTGGATCACAAATGTCACTCCAACTCATCCCAGTGGTGCACAGATATACAGATGCTTGGTGCTGGGCATGGTGACCTTAAGCTCACGTGCATCTGCTCCAGCGTCCCATTCTATTGACAGTGCTTTTCTTTGCAAATTATACAAGCTGTGTGGGTGCAACTGAACACCTTTGTCAAGAATGGGTGCACCTTAAAGTAACCAAACCAGCTAATTAAAGGGGTGTCTGAATACTTTTGGATATTGAGTTGCATGAATAGGCTTTGTTCGTTCTGATATTAACTCTAACGTCCAGGTCCATGTTCTTGCTGTGATACCAGATAAATTCAGAGGAAATGTAATGATTAATGTACATGTAATCTCAGACTCCAGTACTACATCTAAACATGTTTATTCAAGTCCCCATGCTGAGCTATGAGTACAATGTGGCGCAAACCACAAAAGAGCGGACTTCCTCCTCCCTCTTATTGAAGGGAACAGAGTAAACATGTTTGACATGTACCTGCACATTTCATCCCAATCCCACCCACACAGCAGAAAGAACCCGGATGTGATATTAAACTGAACACACATTATTCTAAGATTAGATGAACATGATGCTAAGATTTGCAGGAAAACCGCAAAATACTGTAAAAATACACTGCTTTCTGCCTTTTGCCTTAACAGTGACCCTAAATAGCATTTGTACACTTGTGTCATACTTAAAGATGTTTGAAGTACATTGTGCTAGGGAAACAAAATGCATCAAAAATGACTTTATATGCTTTAAACACAAAAAGTGAGGTTCACCAGCACATGGTCTTGCACTCCACACCGAGCCAAAACTATGTGGATACCGAACCAGCACAGCTATGTCAGCTTCTTGGACATCCCATTCCAAAACAACAGGCCTTAATATGGAGTTGGCCCCTGTTTGCAGCTTTAAACAGCTTTCACTCTTCTTGGAAGCCTTTCCACAAGATTTTCGAGTGTGTGTGGGATTTTGTGGCCATTGGTTGGACGAGAAGACCTGGCTTGCAATCGACTTTCCAATTCATCCCAAAAGTGTGCAGGTGTCCACATAGTTTTGATGATATAGTGTATATGGCTAGGAGCTACCAACAAGTCCATGCTAGGGACGTGCATTCTAATTTTGATATTCAAATATTTCTAAGATGAACGGACGTCTGATTAACCACATTGAAAGGAAAAACTAGGTTTGCCTTTTTAGGTGATAACACTAGTGTTGCACAAAAATATAGCACCATACAGAAAAATGGTTTATCATTCAAAAGGAGCCGAGAGTGAAACCAGAGTCACACTGGATGCTGATGAGGACTTCATGTCTTCTAAATGACATAGTGTCTCCTCAGTGGACGAGGTGCCAACATGTTGCTTCAGCTGGAGTGTTTAGTCTAGGTAGCGATACAGCTTCACTATCTCTGCCTTCTCAGTCACATCCTTGACAACACGGCCTTGGCAACACGTTCACATTCAGGCACTCATGTTTCAATGTAGCACAGTACAACATAACATACTTTCTCACAAATACAAGCAAAAACAAGGCTTTTCACTGAGCTGTTGGCCTGTATATTTTATCTGTCTTCCCGCAATAAAATGTAACAAATACCTGCATTGATTTGAGTTTTCAAATAATGGCATTTTTAATGATTAACTGAGTAGTCCAGTACACATGCGCACATCTAGTGCACACTGCTAATCCTCACTCCTATAATTTAAGAATAATTAAGCCAGTTTGCATCTTTTTCCTAAGGCGTATTACTAATTAATAAGCCCTGGGATTTAACAAGCCTGGGAATTTAAGGGCTTTAAAAAACAGATTCATACAGAAACACATCAGTTCTCAGTGTCAGGTTAGCGAATGCTCAAAACAAATCTATTAAATCATTAAGTATAAGTTATTCATTTTTCAGGAGATATCTCTAAGGAGATTCACACTTCATAGGGTGGCGGGCTACACTCTACTTGATAGGGTGAGGAGCTCGGAGTAGAGCCGCTACTCCTCCGAAATTGAGAGGAGCTAGCTGAGGTGGTTTGGCAACTGACAAGGATGCCCCCTGGACGCCTCCCGGTGGGTGTTTACCAGGCACAGCCTGCTGGGATGAGGTCTCTAGGTCATCCTAGGACCCGCGGGAAGGATTATATCGCCAAGTTGGCCTAGCAGAGGCTCGGGGTCTCCCAGAATGAGCTGGAGAAAGTTGCGAGGGACAGGGTCGTCTGGGATTCTCCGCTCTCCCAACTGCTACCTCGACCCTATCTGGATTAAGCTGTTAATGATGATGATGGTGAGTTTAAAAAATGATTAAAAGCTACAGAGAAAATAGGGCTCTCAACAACCACCTGGAAGACCTGGCAAACACCAAAACTGTCCCCATCAGATAAACAACACTTAAAGCTTTCATCTTTGAGAGAGAGGAAAAAATCAAGCTGCTTCAGATCTGAAAACATCCACAGGTGTTTGTCCATCCTTCCACTGTTTGAAGACAACAAATCAAGCAAAGAAGCTGCTGGTGTTCTCACAACAATGGACTGTCCAGCTCAGAGCCCAGATCTCAGTTTCACTGAATGTGTTTGAGGTTGTGAAGCAGCAAATGGAACCAACTTCTAAGACTGAACTTTGGAGGTGTGGAAAGATATCCCTGCAGATTTTGATCCGTTTGATAGATAAGACTGAAAGCAAGTTTCCTTAAAAGAGCTGCAGTAAAGGCAAAGAACTGACATACCAAAATTTATATTATAACTCCTATTATATTTAGTTGTGTTTCCTTTTTTTGGCACTGAAAAATTAATAACTTTAATGCTGGTTTTCACTGCACTACTTTTAAGTTGCAGGATACAGGCCATATTTTATTATATGTACAGGTACTTCAAATGTTATTGTTCTGGAGACTTAAATCATTTTACACGTCTTTAATGATTGAGAGGTATTATTAAGTTGGAAAACACTCGACTGGTTGATTAAGAGTGATTAAGAGTATGAGCAATGGTGTATTTTAGGGCAAAACAATTTTCAGTAACAGACGCAAGCCTCAATTCACCCCTCGGCTTAAAATAGGTTGAATAGCAACTCTAACATTCCTAGTGTGTGAGTGTGTGTTTGGGGGAGAGAGAGAGAGAGAGAGAGAGAGAGAGAGAGAGAGAGAGAGAGAGAGTAGAAATCAGTGACTTTCTCTCCAACTTAGAAAGCTGATGTTAACCTCTTTCTGCAGGCCCCCCAGGGGTCAGCGGAATGGAAATTGACTCAGATATTTTTAAATAGTTTAATCAAATAAAATATTTTTCCCTGTGACTCGTTATCATGGTATACCATGGTAATACAATGTTGGCTCTCTGTGTTTGAAATATTGTGACTATGTTGAGCCGCTAGTGAGCAATGATGGGCGAAGGTGGAGAAATGAGAATCGCCTTGCTGTGAAAACAATTCACACCTCTCTACAAAGACGACGGTGTTGGGATAAAACGGAACTGACAACTGTAGCGGAAAATAAATTTAATGATTACTGTGAAAAGGGGTTAAGTACAAAGAGTTCCTGCTTAGTCACAATGCTCAGTACTTTAGCATTTAATTTGTAATTTACATACATTTTACAC